GAATAACTCCATAGTGTTGTTCCTCTGAGGTTCTGCTACTTGTGGTAGCTCCCTCCCTTCCTCCATATCAATGCCATCAGTGGCATTCTACTTAGGATTCATGTTCCTGAGATAAAATGCATCAATCATAAGGCAAAATAATTCATAAAATTACACTGCCCAAACATTGTAAGACTCAATCAATCATCCTATAGGCTCTTTCATTGATCATTATTAAACCTTTGCTTTGATACCACTCTTGTCACGACCCGGCCCGACTAGCCTGATAAAATCGGGGCTGAAACCGTAGTCGTACGAAAAACACATAAAACATTAACAGTTCCAATTAAAACTTTAATGTCAAATCACAAATATTGTCCATAAATGAAAGAGCCACTAAACAATATCAAATAAAAGAGATATTCATACTGATCATCACACATGACTATTAAAACTTTCAAACCCATCAACATTACATAAGCTCTCACAATTACCTAAACTCCAAACTCAAACTCACAAACTTTACATAAAATAAACTCAAAAATTCAAACTGAAATCATAACAATGAACCTTTCATCCTGAGGTCCCCTACGACGATACGTGTACGGTCTCGTGCAACCATCACTTCTCTTCTGAAAAATATTTCAAACGTAGAATGAGCCAACGCTCAACAGGTAATTCATAGCTCAGTTAATTTCATAAGATGCATATAACAAAAACATTTATAATTAAAATTATTTCATATCATTTGCAAATTAAAATATTTGAATTTTCATTCTTACATTCATTTTCCCCTTCTTTAACATTTCATTCTTTTCATTCTTTCCTTTCACCTTTTCATATGCAATGCAAATGCAAAAATGCTTATGCTAAATGTAACACCCGTTCGGAAGCACCATTATTCGTACTGATCAAGTACGTAGTCAAATTTTTTACCATTTCTTTTACCATTTGGCTCCGAAGAACTTTATTACCATTTGGCTTTTGTAAGCCCCTTTACCATTATCATTTTGACACTTCTGCATCAATATGTAACATGAAATTGTTATTCAATTTAAATCTTTTCATTTATATTCAATTTCCTTTCATAAGTCTCATATATTTTCATGCTCAAATGTTTTTTCATATGATTCATATGTTTTCCAACAATTAATGCATAATATAAAAGCATGAATTTGCATAATCATTGAATCTAAAACATTAATTAATGATAAAATAAATACATGAAATTTCATTTAAGCATAAAAATTTTAAACACTTATAAATTTAAATGAGGTATGAACACCTACCTCTCTTAAGCAAAGTATGTCGCTTCGACACAGTTCTTTCACCTTATACTTCAACGATCAAAACCTAAGAATAAAATAAACGTGTCACATAAATCCAAACTTCATTAAGGCTTAAGGCTAAATCTAAGTCTAATTGCTAAACCCGGTATTTTCCCTTAACAATTCCTTATAATACTTAATGAATATTTAATTAAAAAAATCTTAATTTTCGGATTTAATAAATACTTAATTTTTGGAAAGTAATAAATCTTCAATTTCATCAAAACATTGCTCTAAAATTAATCCTCAATATATAATTATAATTAAAAATTAAATTTTCGGATTAAAATAATTAAAATAATTCATAAAAATTAAAAAAATTTTAAAACCCTAATCTTTCCTCATTTAAGCATTTCTAATATCTTTATGAACAACATTTGTAAAAGGGAATTTCTCAAAATTCAAAATCTAAGAAAACCCATAATATTTCATTTTCAATTTTTTTTTGCGAAATAATGTCATTTCCACCATTAAAATATATCTCTAATCCTTCCCTATTGATTTCGTAAAGAATTTCAAAGTTTTCGTAAAACCTTAAAATTTTCTCTTCCAAAAATTGAGAGATTGAGAAAGATTCGTTTTAAAAAAATCATACCAAAATGTTCCTCTCGTCGTCCTCTTCGATTCGGACTAATTTCCTCACCGGAAGATCGTCGCTGGAGAGCCCTCGCGGAACCAATCTGTCCGCCCGTCCCTGTTCGTTCGCTCGGTTTCAGCCGTGACTTGCGAATGGGAGATTAGTGAAGGGTTTCGGATAGTCTATTTAGAGAAAATGGTTTGCACAATTACCCATATGCTCTCAATTAAGTGAAATCATTTTTCTATTTACAAATGGGTAAAATCGGTATTATGAAGCTTCCGAAATTTTTAATTCCATATATAAGCAAAATTGGGTATGGGTTAAATATATCAAAACGATCAAAATTTTGCATAGGATTTTCTAAAATTATTTTTATTGAATTCCGTTAACATTGAAAAGTTCACTTAAATCTTATCGCAGTGCTTTGAAAAGCGTGCGAGGTCTAAAATGGTATTTTCAGGTTTTACAATTCTCCCCTCCTAATAAAAATTTTGTTCTCGAAATTTAAAAGAAATACTTAACAGAAAAGTCATACCTTAGTCAAACAAATGAGGGTGGTTCTCCCTCATTTCTGACTCCTCCTAAGTGGCATCCTTCTCTGAACTGTGCTTCCAAAGCACTTTAACAAAAGGAATTGCTTTGCTCTTCAACTGCTTAACATCATACTCAAGGATTGTCTCTGTTTCATTCACAAAAGTCAAATCTGGCTGAATATCTACCACTTCAGTACTAATTCTCTGAGCATCATCTGAAATATATTTCCGTAAGGAGGAAATATGAAACACATTATGCACTCTACTCATATGGGCTGGTAGAATCAATCTATATGCCATCTTTTCAATCCTTTCTGAAATCTCAAAAGGAACTTCAAATCTTGGACTCAGCTTTCTCACTTTGCCAAATCTCTTCACTCCCTTCATTGGACTAACTTTGAGGAATACAAACTCTCCAACATCAAACTCAATTGGTCGGTGCTTGGCATCATAGTATTTCTTCTGTCTGTCCTGCACTGCCCTCAATCTATCTCTAATCAACATGATCTTCTCTGTAGCATCATCAACCAGATCAGCACTAATTATCTTCCTTTCCCCTGTCTCTGCCCAGCTTAAAAGTGTCATACACCTTCTCCCATATAAAATCTCATAAGGAGCCATACCAATACTTGCTTGGAAACTGTTGTTGTAGACAAATTCAATCAAAGGTACATATGCCTCCCACTTACCACCAAAATCCATAACACATAACTTGAGCAAATCTTCTAAGGTCTGGATGGTTCTTTCTGATTGCCCATCTGTCTGAGGGTGGAAAGCTATACTAAAGGTAAGTCTGGTACCCAAAGCTTCCTGAACTTTCTTCTAAAATTTGGAAGTAAATCTTTCATCCCAGTCTGACACTATAGTCTTCGGTACCCCATGCAATCTAACAATCTAATCAACATACATACTTGCCAATTTTTCAAATGGATCAGGCTGTTTTATAGATATAAAGTATGCAGACTTAGTCAACCTATCAATAATCACACATAAAGTATCACATCCTCTTCTGGATCTGAGTAAGCCAACCACGAAATCCATAGCAATGTCTTCCCATTTCCACTCTGGTATGGGTAAGGGTTGTAGAAATCCTCCTGGCTTCTGATGTTCAGCCTTAACCATCTAACATGAAATACATTTGGATACTGTTTTTGTCACATTTTTCTTCATTCCTGGCCATCAAAATAGCTCCTTCTAATTTCAACTGCGCAAACCCAAACCACTTTAGTATATTTTCCATTCTTGAGTCTTAAAAGTGTGTTACACCTACCATCAATTAAATATAATCATTACTTGATTTATCATTCCTAGTTTGACCACACATTCATATTAAGAGTTTCATTTCTGTCAAACTTAACTATTAGGGACTTCTTTGTTGCCAAACACTCCCTAGATCATGGCTCCCAGTTTTATAAGATCTACCTATAACTCTTAATGAAATTCCATTATTATATAGTACTCGAAACACTTCATCAGTTAATCATGAAATTTAAACTTTAGAAGTATATCCTCATCAACATCCCTATTCTTCAATATAATAGATCAAAGATACTTAAAACGATCATGCTTTGATGTAAATTGATCATTTGATAATATTGATTGATAATCTTCAATTCTACACCTACAAAAATTTCATATTATATGCTCAATTTTTATTTTATTAATCTTAAAACTCTTTATTTTGCAAATATTTCCTCCATTATTCAACTTTCCACTCATATCAATACATGTTTTAGATAAACTATGTTGTATGCAAATAGCACACACCAAAGTATTTTATGAATATCTCTTATTGAATATCTCTAATTAATTATGAAAAACTATTGATGATTTCTTATATAATATGCATTAATATCTCAAAGTGAATGATAATATTAGCATGCCAACCATGTCATCTTTCGAATAGTACCAATAATTTTGATCTTAAAAGAAAACACATTATTAATATTATTTTAACAACATTGTATGCTTAATATTTCTTTACTACAAGCCTGGTAACCCAATAAATATTAAATGAAGTTTATAAATTTTGTTTCTTGGTAGTTTCAAATATATCTCAAGATAACAATCTTGATTATGGGAGTGACAAAATAAACATGCAACGTCATAATTGAGAGCATGAAGGAACTCCACAAAAGAAGTAATGAATCATACATTTAAAAAACAAAGTAATACAATTAACATTTAGAAGGAATGAATACAACAATATATACTTCCCTTTAAAAATATATATTCAATTATGCAAAGCATGACTATGTGCATGAGATCAAGCAACTCAGTAGCTCCTAAATATGTTAGACATTAAACTTTTTTGAACATGGTAAGAATGCACTATCAAGCTCATATTGATTACTTTATACAATGAAATTTATAGGTTAAATTATACACAGAGAGTTGATTTCATAGCTATTGTTCATGGAGATTGACAGCAAATATCATATATCCAGCAGATTGATGAAGGCAAAATCTGACATTTCCCTTGAACAGCTTGAATTCATTAAACAATAAAGATGTTTTTTTCTCTTAGGGAGGGAGAGTGGTGATTTGGAGGGAGGAAGAAAGGCATGAATTTGGGGATACCTCCTTAAAATCTTCTAACTGAAGAATTCTGTCAACTTTAATTACATAGAGGAGACCTTCATCCACTTCTTCACCAAATTTCTTCTCCCACCTTGTACAAAGTTTCTGCAACACTTCAGAAAATTATTGAAAGTTCCTTTACCTTCAAAATCATTCAAACACGCAGTTGATGTGCTACAAAAATGTCAATCCGTAGAAGAAAAGAGTAGAAACAACAAAGTAAATATAAAATTTACAAAATAGTATGAAATTTCTCATCAATGGATAGAAAAGCAGCCGCTCTTCCATATCTATGTAGTTCAGTTTTCCAACCGATGAGCATTGAAGAAGTTGACAGAACATCTCTTTAAATGGCAATCACGATACATTTCCCAAAGATAGAAAATACCCTAAGCCATTATCTGGTACGCGTGACTCGTATTATCATACTAGTTAGAAGAACCCGGCTAAAAATAATCTCTAGTTATTTAGCAAATCAAATTGAGAGAAATCATTAAGGGCATATTTACTTTGAGATGAACTTCACCATATAACCCTAGAATAAATCTTGTTTAACTTGTTTGGGATAAAATTAAACGAGTTTAACTTAAGCCTGGATTTAAAATATAACCCATTAAACTCAGTTTATCATTAACCAATCCCCTACCATGAATTACCTGAATATTGACACTGAAGCTCTCAAGAGCTAAAGCCCTAACGAGGTTATGTTAGTATTACAGCAAGTAATTCAGGGCAAACTCTCATTTCTAAACCAAAGTGTTTTACAATATCCGACAAATATGACTGGGCTATAATGCTTATGGATAATATTAACTCAAAATGATCCCACTCCCAACGAAACAGCTCATAAAAAGTCGCAGACTAAATTTAACTTCAAAATCATGCAATCAATCTAGAGGCACCAGAAAGAGTGTACCTTCAAGAGAAACCCATCCTTAGGCTTCTCGAGATTTCCCAGCAGCGTACATTGCCTCGTCCTCGACCCGCTCTGCTGGAGCTGCAAATCATGGTAGTAATAAAAACCCCCAGAAACCCATCAAAATGGAAACCTTCGGTGCTAAAACAGAAAAATGATTACTTGCACATTAAAGCTGGAAGAGCCAGCGGGGACGAAGAGCTTCCCAGGCTCATTAAGGCACAGCGCGGGAGTGCCGTGCGCGTCAACGACAAAGCGAGCGCCGATACCCAGTGGCCAACCATCCTGCAGGGAAATAGCGGAAAGAGTGCCGGTGGAGGAAAGCTCCATAATCGTCCGGCAGACTTCTGCAGCCGAAGGCTTCGATAGGATCTTGGAAGTGGCTGGGGAGGCATCGATGGCGACGGAGAGGGCGGGACATTGGATACTCAAAGAGAATGGACGGGAGGAGGTTTTGGGGAATTCGGTTTGGATCGGAAAGGGGTACTTGGTGGTGTTTAAGAAGAAGTTGGGGAGAGCCGAAGGAGAAGTGAGAGAGAGAATGGAAGGCTGCATCGTAGCTGTGAACGATTTGGCACGGGGGTGTAAACCGAAGTTCCCGTGCTTGGAGAAAGAATTGGGTAGATGGATTGGTCGTTCCAAATGGAGTAACCACAACTCGAAACCTTAAAAATATATATATACTGCGATGAAGAAAAAGGAAATTTGAGGAGAAATTATTAGCTGCAATAAAAATATGATATGTATTTTTTTTGTATGTAGTGTACAAATTATATATATAATGTGCATATAGTATATATAAATTTATAAATATTTTGTATATAATCATACATTTTATATACAACATGTATAGTTATACATAATGTGTACAAATTTATATATATTGTATACAAGGACATGATACATGTCACATTGGAGTCTGGACATAACTCTACGTCCAGACTCAACACGTAATAATTTATCAAATTTGAATGTATTGCCATGTCTTTACTAGAATGGATAAGGAGCTTAAATTAAACAAAACATAAGAATTTTAAAATTTTAAATATTAAAAATTTTGATCGATGTCATTATTTTAGACATTTTATATTAGACTAGTTGAACAAATTCAAAATATATTAGACTAGCGTGGCCATCGTAATCTTGCAACACAATGTTGTCATCCTAGTGAGAACCCCTCTAGCCCATGAACAAATTCAAAAATTTGATCCTTTCAACCTCATTTCGTCCTGGGACGAACTTCTCTGTCCCCAAAACCTGTACAAACCAAGACACTATGCCGACCTTGCTTTGATCCACAAGCCTTCACACCACTCGTGCCCATCCTCTACCTTTTGTAAGCCGGAACCCATATGGAAGAAGATGCTGCCTGCAATCGATATCTTCGATCCATCCTCATTCCCTACTCAAATCCCTCTCAAACCCTATGCCATTCGGTCCATTACCTACAAGCGGCACTGAATTGTCCTATCTCGCAGCTCCTTGCAAAAATTCAACTCAAATCACGTAGCCTCTACGCTGTCTCAAGCTTCTGTTCTCATTATAAGAGGAAAAGCGAATGAAGTGTTTGGTTCTATTGCACAAGAATAACGGAAACAAAATCCGAAACAGAAAATTCGTCAAAATCCTCATTTCTGAAAATTGAGAAAGGCGGAATGTGCCTTACCTTGAGTCGGTCAACTTGTTAAGATAGTTGCTATTTGCATGCTTTACATTTTTGCAACTTATGAAGTTTTGATGATTCCAAACATTATTGTTCAAATGTGTAGTTATTTCCTAACATTTTTTAGAAGAATTGTATTTGCTCTTGTGTGTACTGACATTTCAGGAAAAACGAACTCCAGACTACGAAGACTTCAAATTAAATTCAGCATACGATATTTTGTAAAATTTGAAGCTTGCACTTTTCTTAGAAATCAAATTGAAAGTGAGTGATTGTATTTTGAGTGAATAAAAACATACACACACATAAGGAGATCATATAAAATTTAGACTGATCGTACAGGACGATTTCCAGTTCGTACTGGACGATCAGACAGTTATCTCCTATAGAGAATATTGTACAAATAGGTTCTTGCTCGAAATTTTTACGAAGAAGACGAGCAACTGCAGGGTAAAGTAGACTTGTCGCAAGTGTAAAACTAAGAACGCACATGGAAAGGAGTTGCAGAAGAGCAGTGACGTTTCGTCTCAAAACGATGTTATTGACAACGTCTTTGAGAGAAGCAGTTTCACCAAACGATTACAATTTTTTTATTTTCCTCCATACGCCTATAAAACGTCCAACCAAACCAAGCCTAAAAATATATATATATATATACTGCGATGAAGAAAAAGGAAATTTTAAGAGAAATTATTAGCTGCAATAAAAATATGATATGTATGTTTTTCGCATGTAGTGTACAAATTATATATATAATGTGTACATAGCATATATAAATTTATATATTTTTTGTATATAATCATACATTTTATATACAGCATATATAGTTGTACATAATGTGTACAAATTTATATGCATTGTATATACAAGGACATGATACATGTCACATTTTTATTGGAGTCTGGACGTAACTCTACGTCCAGACTCAGCACGTAATAATTTATCAAATTTGAATGTATTGCCCTCTCTTTACTAGAATGGATAAGGAGTTTAAATTAAACAAAACATAAGAATTTCAAAATTTTAAATATTAAAAATTTTTATCGATGTCTTCATTTTAGACATATTTTATATTAGACTAGTTGAACAAATTCAAAATATATTAGACTAGCGTGATCATTGTGATCTTGCAACACAATGTTGTCATCCTAGTGAGAACCACTCTAACCCATGAACAAATTCAAAAATTTGATCCTTTCAACCTCCTCGTTGATGGCATTTTGACCTCCACTTAGGCGACTTGCGACCCGTTTCACCTTGATCTAGTTGTGTTTGCAACCCACCTGATATCCCTGACAATCTTGTGACCTCCACACTAGCATTGTGCAACCTGCGGCTCATTGTCAACATCAACCTATTTGAGGTTCGTAACTGACGTTCATATCGATGACCACACGCTATCCATTGACTTGTTAATATTTTAGTGCCCTAAAATTGATATCCATTTATAACAAACCAAACACCAAAAAAAGAATTCCAAGTGCTTATTTTAAAATCAATCAAACAATTGGAAGAAATCAAAATGAAAAATGACAAAATGTATACTTTGCAATATGTTTGAAAAATGTTAGTATCATAAATAGTTGTAAACAAATAATTCTTTAACGAGCAATTTGAGGTAAATATCCCCCAAAAAATGTGTAGACCAAAATATCTCCAAATTAAAATGTTATTTTTCATTATATTCATGTCGAATTTATCATATTACAATTGAAACATCTCTCTTTTAAACATCTTCATCTTCTTTGGATTTCCCCTTGCTCAATGGTTTGGAAAGCTATCCCTCTCACCTTAATGGAACTTTCACTCTCCTTTGATCTCATATCATGCCACTCATCTCATCGCGCTTGATAAATAAAATGAGTTTTAAAAATTTTTATTTAATTTATCTTGTATTCCTCTTCCCTTCTAATGCTGACACTCTCATGCTATCATTCTTTCTTGCCACCTGAAAGAATGGCAAGTTCAATGTTGACCTCTATATAAAATAAATGTTTTTCATTATTACCTCTGTCAATGCCCTGCCTAAAATCCTACCCAATCTCGTTCCTTATGATACAGTCCCATCCCATAGTTCTGCAAATGGCATCGAATCGAGTCGCCCATCCTCGCGTGCGTAGATTGCTACTCAAATATTGTGCTGGCTCGAAGCTCTGCCCCTTCATTAAAGCCAATCGAGCGAGGCCTTCACATTTTTTCTGGTTCCCGCACACAAGCTTCAGCGGCCACTCTTCCCTACCGCTCAAACTCATTATTGCACCTGTCGATCCCAGCAAAGACACTGTGCCGACCTGTCCTTGATCCACAAGCTTTCACACCACTCATGCCCATCCTCTACTTCATGTAATCCAAAAACCCATATGCAAGCAGACGCTACCTGCAGTCTGTAAAATCAGCGAAATGCCATTTTAGACCTCGCACGCTTTTGGATGCGTCGCGATGAGTTGTAAGTGAAAAATTCAAAGTCGTCAGAATTCAAAGCAATAAATTTTATAAAATAGTGCACAAAATTTGGAGCAAATTGATATAAAAAACTTATATTTAATTTCTCTTAATTTTAGAGATAAAAATTTCCAATGTCTAATAATACCCAAAATATTCTTAGTCAATACTAAAGAAAATATGGTTTAAGTGAGGGCATTTATGTCATTATGTAATTAATACTAGCCCTCATCCCTCTTAAGGGGACTGAATCCCTATTTGTTCGTTCGGCTGAAACTCGAAACTGAGAGAGAAAGAAAGGGCGGAGAGGCAAGGCGGCGAGGCGGCTTCGGGCGGCGGTTTTCAGTGGCCGTTCATGGAGGAACTTGTAGGGAAAACTAAGGGAAGGCTAAGGTAAGTTGTTGCAAGAGTTTTCTCTTCTTTTCTTTGAGTTTTCTTTAAGGGAAGAAAATTAGGGTTTTGAAAAAATGCAAATTTTCTTTAAGATAAAGATAGGGAAGGGTAGGGGGTGTTTTTAAACCCAAATATGAGTTGATTTCATGAAATTTAGGGTTTTATCCGATTTTGATTTTCTTTCAAAATTTCTTTGTAGAAAAGTTTTTAATTGATGTTAGGAAGTTTTTTTGTGAAATTATATTCTTTTATGATACATTTTTCATGCTCCAATAGTTAGGGTTTTCCAAAATCATGAATTTTTAGCTTAGGGAGGTTTAATAACAAGGATTTTAGCTTTAGCATAAATTATTATTTTCTAAATTTTAAATTAGATGAATCCAATGAATTGCACTATGGGAAAACACGCGAATACCGTCGGATTTTCCGGCGGAAAATTCTGTACGGAAATAAACGGCGCAGTTACCGGCAGATTTGCTCGACGTAAAGTTTGTGTCAACCTTTCCGGCGCAAAATACGCCGTAAATTCACCGACGCATGTTCCGCCGGCAAATCCGACGGTATAGGGATGCCTGAACCATTTCCGTCGCACGTTACGGCGGAACATCTAGAGGAA